CACCAACCCCAGGCTATCCTTCCTAAGATGCACAAGAATCAACTAATTTTTAGTATGATAATGTTGCTGCCACACTATCCTAACAGTTTCAGTAATCAAAATGGCGAGCACACATAATCATTTTTTCCTTTTAGGTTTTAAAAAAACTTTAACACTTCATATTATGAGTTTATGTGAATAAAGTTCTCAAACTGGAGATATTAAGCTTTGAACCTCCGGCCTACAATTTCCTTTGTGTGGTCACATAGATTTACTGTCCATTGTATTGAAATCAATACTAATAAATGGGACATGCATCAAAGAGGGATTTAACAGGATACTGATTCCCAGAACACATTTCAAAATGAGTATGAGAGTAAAAGCCATGGCTTGAGACCATTAGAATACTGTGACCTCTGACACTAAACAGTCCTAGGAGTCAATGACACTAGGTTCAAATCCCATTTCTGCCACAGACTTGCTAAGTGACTTGTCACTACTCCTTTGTTGCTCTCTTTCATCAAACATAAACCAAGTTTATAGATATCCCAATTGTGCTCCTTTGGATATGGACAAGTCAAATTTTAAAAATTCTGTTATGGACACTAGACCTGAAATTGGTCTTCAATGCAATCTTCATTAAATTCCAAACAACATTTTTTTTTTTCTTTTTGGGGGTGGGTATACAACAGAATGTTTCCAGAGTATATTTGAAGAAAAACTCCAAAATATCATTAAGTTTCTCAAAAAGATGAACAATAATAAGTAAACAGCCCTAGCAGAGGGGACATATATATATATATTTAATTTGGAGAAGAGGGAACTCAACTCAAATACTACAATCTTCAAGACAATAATTACTGGTACATAGTTGAGTACCTTACCTATTTCATTTACAGTATGTTTATTCAAATATCTAAAACTAATGCAAAATACTTTTTAAACCTTAAAACAGAATTCCCAATATCTTGAGCTATCTTCAGAAAGACATTTTTAAGAGAAGAGTATGGTATTCATAATCTTTTCTTTCAGAAAGTTGGTACTTCTGAGTGTTGAAGAGAGAAAGCATCTTGTGAAAATAGAGCACAGATATCTGAGTAAACATGGAGGGTGGGGTGGTTTCCAATCAGTTCTACATTCCAGCCCAGTTTCATCAACAGGCTGTGTAACTCTGGACAAGTCATGGTACCTCACTCTACTTTTCAGCAGTTTAAAAAGAAAGCCACTATAAAAATTTTGTCTAAAATTTGTATAGAAAATGTTTTAGGAAATCTTGGAAGAGGAAGAAAAAGAATAAAGAACGGCCATTTGCAAAGGCAGATATGGTAATGTTGACCTTGAGCCTGGAAAACGCTAAAGCAAGTGGAGAAACAAGAACAGAACATGGGAGACAGAGAAACAATCATCATGGAAAAACAGCAAAGCTTATGGAACACAATCCCCACCAGTTCGTGAGTTTACAGCTGCAGTAAACACGTGCCACTTCCTTGCCACTTATTGAGTGCTAACAAGTGACTGCTGTAGCTAAGGGCCCTTTGCAAAATTAAACAGTAAATCATTTCATCCTTAACAATATGATGAAAGAGGTTCTTTTATTGTTTTAAAACAAGGAAACTGAGGCACAGAGAGATTATCTGATTACTATAAAAATCACACAGCTAGAAATAACAGAGCCATGCTCTGAATTAATGTATTATATTGACAAGTGGTGATGGGCCTAAAAAAAATCAACAAAGGAAAGGTGTCCATGGACACTTGAGGAAGGCACCACAGGACATGCTGTTTTAAGAGGGTAAGTACTAAGAGAATGAGAGTACAGGCACGAACTACAGCAAAAATGCCAATCCAAGAATGAACAAATGAACCATGTGAAACATGAAGCAACCATCTTCAAGTACTTTATACATTTAGAAAAAGGAGCTAGGATCTAATGGCCTAAGAAAAAAATTCTGAATGACGTGAAAATTACTGAAACATGCATCTCATTGCGTATTTTATGGCGCTGGGGAAAATGTGGAAACAACCACACAGGAACACAGGTCTTAGCAACGGAAGAGGAGCAAGTACAATATGACACATATTATGTGCTTTACATTCTTTATCTCATTGAATTCTCACAACACAGTAAATATTATCATGTCTATTTTAAGAAGACCAAAATTAAGGCTTGAGAAGATGACCAGTAACTGACCTGTTAAAGACCGCACTGTCAATTAGTAAATTTCTGGTAAACACTAGAGAAATTGTGGCACACACAAAAGGAAGTAGTAAGCACATTTGGTAAGCCTGGATACAATTCAATACTACATTGCTCAAAGCATGATTTTTTTTTTCCCCCTCAAGACCAGACTGCTAGTCACTCTCAGGACTGCAGATTAGGAAAGAAATGACAGAAACATGGTCAAGTTGTCCATGTTGCCCATGTTGCATGTCATCCACATCCCCTCTCCCTGCTTTTATACATGCGGTCGGAGAACCATTCAGAGACTGTCAAATCTATACAAAGAGAACATGTGGGTGCAAAAATGAGGCACGAACACTCATTTAATGATTAGGAACACATACTAAATGCAACATAGAGGCAATGTCAATTCATGTAACACTGGAAGAGAATGATTATGCTTAATCAAAACAGAATTACTCTAGAGCTCTTGGTTTTTATGTTTTAACAATAAGTCAAGTCACATGGATTAAATTTTATCTCACCTTACTGACAGGCAGGTAAGAAGGGGAGGCTCCAATAAAAAGAAAATATTGAACAGAATAAAAGCACAGGAAGGGTATTTGGTCGTGTAGATGGGGAAAGGCTGGGGAAAAGTGATTACCAGCGCACAATGGAAAGTACAGAGGGTGCCCACACCCCACTCTCCCAGTTTCCAGTTGCATGTACAGGAATTGCAGCACTAGCATTTGCAGCACCAAGATTACAGACCCTGGGCAAGAGAGCAGTGAGGGATTTTTCTCCCTGGAGGGTTCTTCCACATTCTGAAGGCATGGCATGAGTCATTTAAAGACTGCTGTCATTTCGCAGGAAAGAGATAAAGGGAACATCCAATTTGTTCCTAGGTTCCCCAACCCAGATAATCAAGGGAGGTTTAAAAAAAAAAAAAAAAAAAAAAAAAAAGGAGCAAGTGACTCAGAGCAGAACTTTTGTCCAGAAACAAAGATTGTGTGTACGGCATACATGTCCCTTATGCTATGGAAACCAAGTACATGTGACACTGTGAGGAAAACATATAGTTAGGACCATGAACTTTCCTAGCAATGTGATGTTGGGCAAGACTGCTAAGGCTCCCCTACCAAATACGTCAGATGAAAATACCTGCCTTCCTATTCTTCCTATTACAAAGATGATTACAACCTTCTAATACAAGTAAAAATTTTATTGCTAAAATAAAAGGGTAGAGGGAAGAAATAAAATAATTATGATTCTGATCCTAAAGAAAGAATTCAATTTGAAATATCTATAAAACAAATGAGATTGAACATAGACATGCTTATGGCTTTTAGTAATGAATTAACTGTGCCCATGTATCTTTAATTATTAAAAAATAATGAATAAATGTACATTAAATAGAAATGAATAACTACTCTAAGAAACAGAATTTAAATGCTAGAAGGAAACATAGATCATTTAGTTTGAGACAGGAACTTAATTGTCTTAACAGAAACCCTGTTTTTCAAGCAAAATATATAAAATAGCTGCTCTGTTTGCTTTATCTTTCCCCTACAGAGCTCCAAGGAATTTCTTTAGCTCTTCTATGGAACAGTTTTAAAACTAGACGTTGAGTTCTACCCCTAATTTCTAAAAATGAGGAGAATAAGGCCAAGAGGTAGAGCTGGTTAAAGGAAAACCAGTCAGGTCTGTAACTCAACTTCCTTGACTAAGTGTAGCATTCTCTATGTCCTGTTACTTTTATTTGCCTTCTGTTTTCTTTCTTTCTTTTTTTTTTTTAAGGAAAAAAACTGAAGGGTTCTCTTTTTGACTTTGTAAATAATTCCACTCATTCTCTTCTTTCAAATCTACTTCTGGCTCACAAACATTCAACTTTAATCTTTCTGGGTACAAATAATTGATAATATGGCTCAGATCAGAGAGTAAGTGAAAGAAAAAAAATGCCAATAATATAAAGTGAAAGAGAAAAATGCCAAGTTAACTATCCCAAATTTATATTCGGTTGAGATTTAACTAAAGGCAACACATTAAGGAAAGGTGCTCAGGCTACAAACTGTGACGTGGATGAAGCCTCAGTCTCCCAGTAATTGCTTTTAAATGTTAAGGCACACAATTTGTTCCAAAACTATCATGGAATGTTAGAACACGTTAGACCTGAACGTTCAACAATTGGTCTCAGTCAGTGAAATGCCCCTTTTCTCACAAAATGTTGTATTATTGGAAAATGGAACCTAAAGAAATGAAGAAACAATAAATTTTACCTTCAGGCTCCCAGGTCTCAGAGGAAAAATGCTAATGATTCTCCTATTTCTTATCAGAAATCAGTATTGATTACAATGAACTCATCGCAAGCAATTCTAGGAAAAGTGTTCAGTAACTCTTCCTCCACAAGAATATTAAAACTTTTCAAGTGCATAGGTTTTCAAAAATGTGGGAAACTTCAGCACAGTTTTTTAATTTTGTACCAAATATAACACTATACATGTACCACTGCTAAGAAGTGAAGTGGGGACCCTGCATAGTTGTTGAGCCGTGCACAATTTAATTACAAGGGCCGCCGAAAGCGAGGCAAAGATTTGTCTCTAAAAATTCACTTCGTGGAATGCAGCGAACTCTTTTTTTTCCCTTTTATTGGTGCGATCCTAAGCCTAATTTTCGGAGTTTAGGTTTGCTTCCTTGCCTTTCCCAAACTCACACTGAGATTTGCCTCCTTTAGGAAGTTAGGAAGCCAAAGAACTGGGGGACTCAAGCATAGGGCGACCATGTTAAGGCGGTGAAACTGCACGCCCTCCCAGCTGAAAGGCTGACCTCGGGTTGTACTGCGGTTTCTCGGATGGACACTAACCTTACATGCCCCGCTCCACGGAACTTTCTCTGAAACATTCTCTAGGAAGCTTGACTTATCCTAGCCGAACCAAGCCTTCCCAGGCTTCCGGAACTGGCAGGCTTCCGGGGCGTCCCAGGACCCGGAAGTGCCTGGAAAAAAAAAGGGGAAATTAAACCAACGAGAACTACGGTTTGGCTAGTGTAGGAAAACCCGCGAAGGCCCGGGAAGGCCCGGGAAGGCCCAGGAAACCCAGTAACAGCGAACATCGACGAGACGAAGGGCCGAAGGGCCGAAGGGCCGAAAAGCCGAAGAGCCGAAGAATGCACCGCGCGAGGTGATTGGTCAGCTGGCCTGTCAGAGGAAAACCGTCTGTGATTGGCAGGAGAGTCGCGAACCCGCCAGCCCCCGGTCTGAGCCGCGCGTGATGAGGCCCCAGGGTCAAAGGGCGGCTACGGGGTCGAATCTCTCGGGGCATGGCTTTCCCTGACTTCGGCCGCGGATCCGGACGAGCGCCGCGGGGTGGCGGCGGGGCCGCTCTGCATTCCTGGCTCTTACCTCGCATGCCCTGGGTGGAGGGCCCACTGCAGGATATTTTCGTGGGGCGGGGATCTTCGGGTGGGGCGTCAGCCTGTAGGTTGGGTGCGCGTAGCCAGGCGTGGGGGTTTGCTGACCGCTGCGGGCTCAGGAAAGCGGGTGGCCAGTTCCAGACCGAAGGCCTGTAGGGCGGGCCGAACGCGGTAGCGCAGCTGGGGCACCGAGTCACGCTGCAGGGTGGGTCAGAATAATCCCCGAGCTGGAGGAGAGGGGGATAGCGAGTCGTCAACCCCTGGGAATCAGGCAGGATTTCTAGGACTGGAACCCGAGGGAAGGTCTGTTTTGAGCGCTCACCGGGATATTTTGTGTAGCCGGATCTTGAATTGCCACTGCCTTCTGATTCTATAGCGTGCATAGCAATGCCCACCTAGAGGTTTGCACAGTCAAATAGGTAGAACTGTCTGCACATATTAGGTCTACACAGTGTTTTAGCTCTTGCTTTTGCCACCGCGAGTCTTAGGACAGCTGTACTGTTAGCCTATCCTGTACAACCAGGGTCACAAGAAAACTTTTGTTCGATTTCTAAAATAATGGAACAGAGTTACTCAATATGAAACATGGGCAGGATAAAATAACATTTATTAATGAACTCTAATACTGCTCAATTTCGTTTTTACTTAAGAGGTGTACAGTTTAACATCGTTCATGCCTGAAATTTTGTTGTTTTCCACACAGTTAAGGAGATTTTGGGAGAAACAGGACTGGAGGAGGGAGGTGGTTTCTTGAATTAGTGAAAGTCCTTCCCATCCTGTGAACTAAAGGTACAAATGAGGTAGAGTAGGCGGGGCAAGTTGGCAGGGTGTGTAGTTCACTTAGGTATAGGCCAGGGGTTACTCTGGAGTTAGCCATTGTAGTGGCCCCTGGTCGTCTGAAATACGGCCAGTCCAGATCGAGGTCTGATCTAAGTGTAAAATGTGCACTGGATTTCTAAAATACAGTGTGAAAGGGAAAGAGTAAACTTTCATTTTATATTGATTACACGTTGACATGAGAATGTTTTGGAAAATTTTAGGTCACATATGTGGCTTACATTATATTCCCATTGGATAGAGCTGTTGTAGAAGGGAAGAAAATCTCTTACCTACTAGAGTTTCTAGGTTACCTTCTAGCTACAGTCATGCACTGCTTAAATATGGGGACGTGTTCTGAGAAACGCATTCTTACACAATAGAGTGCATGTACACAAACCTAGATAGAACAGCCTGCTGCATACTCAGGCTCTGGTGTAGTGCACTGCTCCCAGGCTATAAGCCTCTACAGCAAGTGACTACAAAACTACAAGAGAGTGCTGTAATTAGCTGTGTATAATGCGCACTTTTTTGCCCAAGTTTTTGAGGGAAATATGAGAATGCGCATTATACATGGGTAGTACTAATTCTGTATCTACGTAAATGTTTTTAATTCTTTTATTTGTGCTTATGCGTTAAAAGTGTAACTGTAGAAAGTGACAGTGGTACCCATATGCAAAATAATACCCTGGAATCTGATAAATCAGTTTTGTTTCTAAATATAAATAAATAAAAAATGGAATTAAAAAACTAAAACGAAAGATTTTTTTCCTGAAAGGCTGGGCCAGAAATGTGGGTGTGCATTATACACAGCAAAATATGGTAAATCAGCCGCAGAGGACAATGCTGCAATGACTTGGAGCAACAAATCGAAGTTTCTCTCCCTTTCTCTTTAAAATCAATAAATAGCCTTGGCCAGGTAGCTCAGTTGGTTTAATCGTTGTCCTATACACAAAATGGTTATGGGTTTGATCCTGAGTCAGTGCACATACCTTGATTGCAGGTTCTGTCCGTGTTGGAATGCACAATGAGGGCAAGTGATGGATGTTTCTCCCCCTTCTCTCTCCAAAAAAAATAAACAATAAGCATATCCTCAGGTGAGGATTAAAAAATAATAAAATCAATAAATAAAACTTTTTAAAACCAGTTGAGAGACTGGGTAAACGAAGTGTATTGTGGCACTGTCAGCATAACATGGCTATAGTGTTAGAGCAAACATTTTCTAATAAGTAGGAAGAGTCCACTCTAAAATAATGATAGAAAGTATAGTATGGTAAATATATAAACTAGTACCAGAGTTGTTTATTACCATTATCAGTAATATGTACTGTACATAATTGTGCTATAATTTTATATGACAGGCAATGCAGTAGGTTTGTTTATACCAGCATCAACATAAATACAGGGATAAGTGGTTGGACTACGATCTCACTGGATGATAAGGATTTTTCAGCTCATTATAATATTATGGGACCATTGCCTTATATGTGGTCATTGACGAAAGTGTTTTATTGTAGCACATGACTAATCGCTTACCTCCTGTAAGAAGACTGAGTCTCACTTAGCAGTTATGAAGAAAGGCAGCCATGTCACACTTCTCAGGTAGGCCTACAGTTGTACTGTGCTTCACTTACTTTTTATGAAATTGGGGGGGTGGGGCTTCAAAAGATTGACATTTTCAGAGAGCAAGTTCTAGTTCATGGAGCCTTATATATGGTTCATGAACATGTCACTATATGTTGATAGAAATAAACATACCAAGCTATCCCAAAATTTGAGTTAATGTTTAATGAATCTAATTAAGGATGTAATGAAACATGGAGAACATTAAGATTTTTTTGAAAATGTTTAAGTTCTGGTTTTTATCATTTAATCTCTAAATACAGAATGCCTTTTTAGATTTCCAGTGACCTAGTAAACTGAGCTTTTAGGAAAAAGCATTTTTTGTATTTGCTTTGTATTTATTTTTCATTCATTAATTGAACAAAAGCTGCTAGGGGCCAGGAATATTGCTAGACAGTGTTGATAGAAATGTGAATTATGCAGAAGTGGCCCTTACTCTCTCAGAGCTAATGAATATGAATTCAGAGACAGTGCAAAAGTAGATAATGATCAAGGCATAGTGTATTTTGCCTTTGATTAAGTGCTGTACTTCTGTAAATTCAACACATTAATTGCTTTAAACCTAGAAGTTATATATTCCATGTTAAGAAAGAGTCTTTGGTGGGGGGAGGTGGAGGGATCAAGCAAAAATGAGACCTCATGGACAAGGACAACAGTGCAGTGATTGTCGTGTGGGGAAGGGGCGTGGGTGGAGGAGGAGGAGGATGTGGGGGGATAAATGGTAATGGAAAAAAATGAAATAAAATGAAAAGCAGAAAAAGTCTTTAGGATTTGGCTGTAGGGCCTAAAAGTACTAGTAAAAAAAATCAAAGTATATTTATTCATGCATTAATGATGAGAAACAAAGAATAAAAATTTAAAAGAGTACTTATTTACCTTTAAATATGAAAAAAATATAATACTATCTTACTTATATCCTCTTTTAGCCCTTTAGTGACTTCTGGGTTTTTAGGAATTTAATAATATTGCATATATGTAAAGGAGATAATGATTTATGCCCCAACATTGTTTAAAATTGCTGACTTTAAAAAGTTAAATTTACTTTAGCATATTACATACTTCTTAAATCAATATATTTGAGTCTTTTAGGAAAAAGTTAAACAGGCCTTATATTAGTTTTCTACTGCTATTATAACAACTTACTACAAAGTTAGCTGCTCAAAACAATACCAATGGTTTATCTTCCAGTCAGAAGTCCAACTCGGGGTTCACTGGGCTGATATCAAAGTGTCTTCATGTTTGTGTTTCTTCTAGAGGGTCTAGGGAAGAATCTGGTTTTTGTTATTGTTGTTTTGCTCATTCAGGTGGTTGACCAAATTCTGTTCCTTGCTGTGGTTGCATGGATGTACTCAGTTCCTTGTGAGACGTCAGCCTAGGGGATGGTCCCAGCTTCTAGAAGCTGTCCACATTCCTTGTGTCCCTCTTTCTTCATCTTCAAAGCTGGAAGTTGTGAGACCCTCTCCTCCTTCTGATTTCTTTTCTGACCTGCTCTCCTGTTTTTTTGATTTCCCTAAGTGCAGTCTTTTAAGGATCTGAGTAGGTAGGACCTACCTAGATGATCCAGGATAATCTGTGCATCTCAAGGTGTGTAACTTAATTCCATCTGTTAAGGCCCTTTTGCCATAGTGAGGTTACATAATACTGGTTCCAGGGACTAGGGCATGGACACTTTCAGGCGCCATTATTCTGCCTGCCACGATCTCAGCTGCGCCATGCAGAGTATCCAACCTTTCTTACCAATGTTCTCAGTATTTTAGGATAGAATATAATGTCGATAATAACTTGTAACTTTTATTGGATGTATAATATGTTTTAGGCACTCCTGAAAATTCTTTTTCTGCATTTGTTCATTTAGTCCTCACAAATGCCTTAGCAGGCAAGCACTTACTATCCCCACTTATGGGTAGGGAAACAGATACAGAATGGGAAAGTAACTTGTCTAATTTCTCACAGGTACTAAATGGTGGGATGAGAGTTTGAACCTATTAGTCTGGTTCCAGAGCCTGTGTGTGCTCTGAACCACACAGGGCAAAAATAATTTCTGAATGTATGGATTTATTAAACATGCTTTAATGACATAGTGACTATGAGTACAGGATGTAGCATCATAATATCTGGATGTACAGTCTACCTTTACCAGTTAGGGATGACCTTGGACCAGTTCTGTAACCTCCCTGAGTCTGTTAGGAATGAAGTGAATTAATAACCCCTGAGGATTAAATGATCCACTATATGTAAAGTACCTAGAACAGTGTCTGACAAAGTAAACTATTACTAGCT